AGGTAAGGTTACAGGTCGGTTGAATCTATCATGATCAGTTTACAATAATAGGAATTATAAAAATTGCGGAATCTAGTATATCCGAACAGATTGTCCTTGATCACCAAGGATGTTTACGTAGCCTTGCGAGGCACGTCAATCTGTGTCGTGCTCCGCCTGGCGTAGTATCAAGGGTTGGGCCTCCCATGGGGGCTTGGCCCATGTGCAGCCCTGTGGGTATCTAGATTATACCCCCATAAATGGTGGGGCCCAACGTCATTGGTGGCGGGGACAGGGAGCTACAGCTGTTGGAGATGGTTGCAGCGGTGGCGATGCTCGGGGTCGGTGGCGGCGAGGGCGGTGATGAGGTCCGTGGAGGCACCCTAGTGCCGGATCCAGCAAGGGTGGCTTTGGTGGCGGCCGCGATGTTGGCACCCGGCGTCGGCGGCCGTGCAAGCGTTGAGGGAGCCCGCAGAGGCGCCCCAGCGCCGGATCCGGTGGGGGTGGGCTTGGAGGAGGCAGCAGAGGCGGCCCCCGGTGTCGACGGTGGGGCGGGCGTTGAGGGAGCACATGGAGGTGCCCCGGCACCGGATCCAGTGGGGGTGTGCTCGGAGGCAACCATGGCGGTGACTCCCGGCGTCGGTGGTGGCGCGGGCGTTGAGGGAGCCTATGGCAGAACCTCCTAAATTATAGGGCCCACATGCACCTGTCACTGTCCGACGACCTTTGACAACTATGCATATGTTCCCGGTAACTTTCGAAGACTGTCGGGTGTCCTCGGAGAACCTCGAATCATCCACGATTTCCGAGCAGGATCACATTACAGAGTCATTGCAGTATTACAACATTTATTCAAATATCTACACCAGAGTAAATCAACGGAAGTCTTACAATAACATAGTTTACAAACCATTTGTTTCAAACCATACAACTAAGTTCGATAAATAAAACAAACCAAAGTAGTGGAGTGGCATTATAACATATTACAGAACACACAAATAAGCTGCCCTGCCCAAGAGCCACACATTTACTTATTGTCATCACAAGGAACAACAGTCATGGAGCACGATCCAAAACAGATCTACTCATGAGCCTCACCTGCAACAAGGGTCAACGAACCCTGAGTACAAAAGTACTCAACAAGACTTAATCGAAATAAGAATTAATAGAACACAGGAATGCAGGCTTAGGGATTCAAGGTATGGTTTTAGCAATAATCAAGGTTCTCTTGCGTAAAAGCTTTTTAACAAAATTCTTTATATCAACATTTAAAACTTCATAAGATCATATACAAAGCTGACACGATCCGTATTGAGATCATGAAACTTCATATCCAACATTTTCTCAAACCATTCTCAAATTCCAGTTATTAAACTACGATGATGATCAGAGAGTTGAGTCTCCATAACCGAGGAGCAACGACGATTCAAACCGATTAAACCCAGCTAGGGATTCTAGACCACACGACATATGCAGGTCCCCGACTTACATATATCAACCTACCCTCGGATCCTCTAAACAAGAATAGGTCCGCACCAACCAAGAATACAGTAACCCACCAAACCAGCCCATTGCCACGTGGGTACATGCTATTCCCGCCATCTCTCCACTCCTAGTGCGCGAGTAGCCATTATCGTAATAGAATAGCCAAGTTAAGGCTTACCGGAGTATGCGGTTAGTACTACAAATTCTCAACTCACACAGGTCAACAACGGTACGGGCCTTAATCGACACAGGTGGAAAGAATCCGCTCACAAGACCTTCGTGTCTTGTGGCTCACACACACCGAGTCCGCCCGGTCTAGGTTTATTACTCCACATGTCCATATCACATGATAACATAAGTAATCATAGTCCCATTTAAAACTTGCAGGTGACAGGTAATCACCCGACTTTCATCGTTCTAAGCATAGCTAAGCATAACTAGGCATATACGATTTTTAGACTGGTAACAAGGTGGATACAGAGAAACAAGGTTGGTAATGCATCAAATTAGGTTTCCACTTGACTTCTAATTACTTAATGCAATAGATAAAAGCAAAAACAGAAATAACTTTGTAAAACACAAGGTAGGTTTGTATGCATCCGGGGCTTGCCTTCGTTGACGGAAAAATCTGGGTCCGGAGTTGTTCCACCGATATCAACACCAACCTCCACAGACGGATCAACCTCTTCAACTACTTGATTAACTACCACGTGCTCACCTTCGTTCACTACACATAGCAACAATGCCATGTTTAACATGATGCGAGATACAAAATATGATGCTCGATGATAGATGCAAAAGTTAACAACTTGAATACAACTTTCCTTCGCGGTACAGTTACAAGTCAAACTAACTAAACCTTTTCGTAACACCTAATTCAATTGCCAAGGATCATTATCAACTAATGACCCAAGGACATCACTCAATCAAAAATTCAAACAAAACCTAAATCACTAAAGGTTACTATTTACTTTTATAAATTAATTAATTAATTAAGAATTATGAAATAAATCAACTTATTCCAATTGACCTCAAAATTTTTGTAAATGTTCATCACATGATAACTAAGTGGCAAAACAATTTTCATAATTTTTGGATATATAAATAAGCCTAGAAAAATCATAGAAACTCATTTATTAATTAATTAAGCAATTTTTATCACATTCAAAAAGTATTGAAAAACAATATTTCATATTTTTCTTAAATAATATACATCACAGAGAAGTCACACAAAAATTTTTATAATTTTTGAAGCTCTAAATAAATCTACACAAAAATAACAAATTACAACACTATTCAATCATTTCTGAAAAAGGAAAAATTCATTTTCAAATCACCCGCTCACACAAACAACTTGGGAAGAACCAGAAAATCACACAAACAACTCAGAAGAACCAGGAACTCACACAAACAACTTGGAAGAACCAGGAACTCACACAAACAACTCAGAAGAACCAGAAACTCACACAAACAACTCGGAAGAACCAGGAAATCACACAAACAACTCGAAAGAACCAGGAGCTCACCCCGAATGCGTTGGAGTCAAAGGCTAAGCCAAAGGAGCAACAGCAAGGAGGTTCGACGAGCTGAGCAAACACGGCGGAGCAAAACGTCGTCGGTGGCGGAGTTTCGGCGACTACGGTGGTCAAAACGAGCAATCAACAAGATGTTAAGAACCACGGCATCGAGACGAAGCTGAAGCAAAGCTTTTCAAGGTCAAAGGCAGACCGTAGCGCGCTGGCCATGGTGAGGCGAACGCGACGGCGACGCTGCCGGCCGCGAGGAAGAAGAGCGCGCACAGCAGTTTCCCGGCGAAGTCAAGCTACAAAAGCAGGTCGGTTGGATGCGCAAGGAGTAGGCGAAGCTATTGAGCGCTTTGCTGCGACGGTGGAGACACTACAGCGACGGTGCGAGCTCGCCGGAGATGAGCAAGGGCGACGGGAAAAGCAGAGCAACGAAAGGAAGGTTGGCGACAGCGTCTGAGCTTTATAGAGCGGCCAAGGAAGCCAGAGGAAGCCACGACGGAGCCTTTTCCCGCGCCAGCGCGACGCCAAAGACAGCCACGACATGCCTGGAACGCCGAAGAAGGTCGTCGGCCATGTAGCTTAGGCGGTGAACACTGTTCATAGGAATTACATAATTGCCATTCGTTTAAAATTCCAAATTACTCCAAATTTTTCTAAACAACTTTGAAAACTCCAAAAACAAACTTTGTACAACTCAACAAGCTCTACATTTTTGCTTTAAGGCTCAACCCCAAAATGTGCTTCGATTTTGAAATGGGTTTTCCAGGTCAAAACTTAAATGCTGGAAATTCGGGTTTTTGGAAATCCAATTAAACACAAATGTTTTGAAATTGATTCATCCATACAAGTCAACACATATAACATAAAAGTAAACTTGTTTTAGTGAATGCATAACAAAGTTTTCATAATTATTGATATTAACATTATTTCAGGTAATATATAAAACACTCCATAAATAACATTGGCATGCTATATTATAAACACGAAATGCATTCATGAGTTGATACATGATGATTATGCATAATGATGACATGATCACCTTTTAAGTACTTTATAACATCAGGGATGTTACAGAGCCCGCAGAGGCGCCCCAGCGCCGGATCCGGCGGGGGTGGGCTCGGTGGTGGCCGCGGCGGCGGCTCCCTGCGTCGGTGGTGGCATGGGCATGTCTGGGCTGAGGCACAGGTCGGCGTCGGCGTCGGGGGGGGGGGGGGCGTTGTCTGATTCTTCAGGGTCGGACTAGGGTTGGGGGCCTCTCCGTAGGAGAGTCCGTTACATGGACCAGTGATTTTGATGAATGTCTCACAATGAAAAAAGGTCATCAGGTATTAAAGAGGTTATCGCTATTGTTCAAGAGAACAGCTGAAAAAGCTAGTTGACATGACATTGAGTACTAGACTGATGGCTTCTGAGGTAATTAATATCTTTCTCCAAAGGAATATTTGTTCATAAACTTATTCAGATAAATGCACTTGTGATCCTAGTGGCTAGACGTTCCACCTGCCATATATGCAGAGATGCAATTAAGAAACCAGCATTGCAAGATCGTGTATTACAAAACGACTGAAACGATGTGAAAAAGGAGGCCTCGAATAGATGCTGCATTCTTGTTTTCAGCTTCATATATTACACAGCTAGCGATACGGCCGGTGAGAGCAACATCACATATACATACATACATACATATACATACATACATACATACATACATACATACATATGGACGTCTTGTCATTGAAAAGTGGGAATGTGGGATAATATAAAGAGAAATGGAAAAGCAAACGATGGCATACACGTAGTCCCCCATGGCCATCCAGAATGTGCAGCAAGTACTAGTAGGTTGTAGCTGCTAGCTCATGGGGTCACAGGCAAGCAGCTGATTAGCTACCTTTTTATTCGAACAAACATACATTAAGACTTAAGAGGAAAAAAAGCTTGCCCAGCTAATTGCAGATCAGGTTTGTAGGGTCGTTGGTTGGTTGGTCTTGTTTCGTACGTTCAGCTGTACGGTTAGCGCCGGCGGGCGGCGGTCTCGCGCTGCGCGTTGAAGTAGACGGCGGCGACGGGGAGGCCGAGGTCGTTCTCCTCAGCGAACTGGCGGGTGCTGAAGCGGTCCTTGGACGACGGCGGGTTCACAGCTTGCCGGCGCTTCTGCCGGAACAGCACAAAGATGAACCTGTGGATGCCAATGTTTGGCTTTGGGGTCTCGTAGCTCACCACCTCTCTCCCTGCATGTATATATGCATGGCAAGCATTAGATGAAGTAGGAAAGGAGTGGCGAGGGGAAGGAGAAGACAAAGAACCGGTGATTGATTTGTACACCATAACCCTTTTTACCCATTTTTCGCCCTTCTGAGGCTCTGTACTCTCCCCACCTCAAAACTAACAAGAACTAAAGCAACATGTACGAGAAAAAGACTTACCAAAAGAAGCATCAGTAGTCCCAGGAATATCAGTAACAATCCTGCCAGTGCCAGTGTGTGGTCCAACAAAAAAACACACCTGATTAGCTACATATATATTATTCTATATAAATGCCTTGAAGAAATAATATGAACATTTATAAGACCATGCATGCCACACCTAACCCGGCTTTGTAAAATATATGCATGCCCGAATCTCAGTGAGCGCTAGCTAATCATGGCCGAGAGTCAAGCTATACACTATAGTAGCTAGGTGACACCCTCTTATTTAGTCTTCTATGATTACTTATCTAGGAAGATACACTATCTTGCATTGATTAAATTACCAGTGAAGGTGCTCCCTCAGGTATGGATCACTAGGTCCTGGAACATCAGGGTCAGTCATCACCAATGTGAAGAAGGACCTGAGGTCGCCCCCTTGGACCTCAACACGCGGCTTGGCGGCGACTGCCGAAGGGAAGAACTCGTGTCCGTTGAAGACCTGCTTGTTGGAGTTGTAGGTGACCACCATCTTCACCGTGGGGTTGAAATGGTCCAGCACCTCACCTATCACTTTCCCCACAATGAGAGGCTCCAACACCCTTGACATGTCAACAGTACAGTTGAAGCAAATCTCAGCTGAACCTAATAACCTACGATGATCAGCAGTTGGTGTTTTGTGCTTCCTAAATGGTGAGGTGCAGGAGCTTCAGTTTCCTATGTGCGTGTGTGTTGCCAAGAGCCCAGGGCGTGGCCTCTATTTATAGACGTGAAGAGACGAGCCTTATCTATGTGTTTGGCCAGATATATATTCAGCTGAGTCTGATGGATCATCATCATATATTACACCTTTGAAACGGAAGTTCTTAAAAAGTTCAGGTTGGACGGTGGCTACTATCATATATTAACATGTTAGATTGTTATATAGTCCCAGTAATTTTCTTCCAGGTGTGATGTCGACTCTGCTGGATTATAGAATAGGGGCACTTGCATGCGGCACACAAGTTCCTTATTATCCAATATATTCCAATTTTTCCACATCTATCTTAAAGATATTTATTCTCTTCAGAAGATTTATGGGCGTTCAGGCTGAAATAACTAAGTGCCTAGAATCCACATTTGGCAAAATAGGAAAAGGATCTTTATTACATCCATATTATTATAGTTTCTCTGTTGAACACAAATCAACTGATCACGTCCTTTAGAGAACGAGCACTCTGAAATATATGAGGTCTGTGCCATATACATGCTATATATACTTCTCTAATGAGGTGTGAAACCAGTTTGGAGATTCAGCTATGTCTATAATGTGTGTACCTTGCACCAAACAACAAATCGCATCACACTTTATGTTTTTGGTACAAAAATGATAGTATGAATGAATTTTTATGTATTTAAACTTGCATTGTGGAGTTAATTGAAGATATGCTTAGTAGTGTAGCAAAGAATCTTCACTAAACGTGCATTTTATTTTATTTTCTTCAGAAAATTTTAGAGACTTAATATAATGTGTGGTAGTTAATGTAGGAATGGTGTCAAAGATGGCAGCTTGATTATGCTAGTTCTTTTGGTTATATTCTTTGCCCATCCTTTTATAAAAGAAGCATACAACGTTAATGTGAATTCTCTCCATTGATTATCCCTTTATTTACATGTATTTTATTTTGCGTTGAAACCCATATTTTATTTTTTGCTTTTTGCGCAGCTGGAGAGTGAGCTTGGGTATTCTCAAAGCTGCAGCACAACTGCACCCACGAGCATCTTTTTCTCTTGAGGTAAAAAAGCGAGGCACGCTGAATCACCAGTCTGCTGAGCTATATGGGCTGCAAAAGAACATGCCCTAAACAGCATTGCACTTGCGCGAACTTGCCACTCCTGGTGATTATTCCTGTCAGGCAGGTGCAAGAGGAGGGCATAAACTAAGTTCTCAAGTGGGCTAGGCCTCTCTCCACTACTCCACAAAGTGGCCCTGCATCGAAGTGCTCTGCTCGTAACACTTCTTTTGAGGGAAAAGGAGATCCTCAATTATAAGCTCTTCATTAGGCAAAGGTTACTGCTCTTGTTTCCATAAATAGTAGAACCATCTCCAAGTACATGCATGCCCTATATAATTTGCATACTCTAATCTCTGTATCAATATACTAGCATTGCATGCTAACTTGATATTAGTATATTAAGGGTGAAGTTGACTGTGCTGGTTCATTTGCTTGTCTTGTCATCACAAAGTCACAAGGAAATTAAGTGGCAACGTAGGGGCCAAACCATTGCCAAACAAACTGAAATAAACATTTTAACTCCCAACGGAATCTGCTCTAGACAAATTGACATTATCTCATCCGTCTTTCTAGAAAACACCTACAAAAGCAGACCACCCACCATAAAGATATACTAGTAGTTTATAATATTATTCCTCTTATCTGGAAGAGGTTATATATAGGCTTTGAGATGGCAAGCATCTTTTTTCAAATCACAGTACAAACATAGTCGCTCGTATACATGTAAAAACACTCGTCCCTACAAACGCACGTTCACACTCTACACCTATGACCACTTCCGAAGGCTCAAGATTGAAGAAGTCACCATAGACACTTAGCTATCGACGGGCACATTACCTACTAGTAAAAGAATAACGCTGTTAAATCCTATAATAATCTAGAAAAATACGAGCACGTGTATGAAATCGAGGGCACCTGAGTGGATAGGTTCCACCATAAGAAACCTAATTAACTGAGTTACTTTTAGTTTACATCATGCCCATTCTTTCGTTAGTCACAAGTGAACTTCTCTGTCACTGCATTGAAAAGAGCAAAATTTCACTGTGAGTAGTGACACCCAAGGAAGTAGAAAGGTCTGGTAGTGTAGGATGACCATGGCCGTGGTTGTGTGACTTTGCTCGTGGCATAAATGGATTTGGTTGAGCAAAGTTGGTGAAATTTTTGTATATTGGCATAAATAGATCTCACGGTAAACTTTTTTTTTCCATGAATAGACCCGATGCACAACGCCTTAGGACAGTGCGTAGACGTACATGGCTTGACATCATGTCAGTGCACGCCGAACCCCTGCCACGTCAGCTATGACGCCGGGCATAGGAGCCAGCATGGCACTGGGGCTCACAAAGCTTGGCGTCACATTAGTTAACGCCGAGCCACATTCCTCGGCGTGGCCTGGCTCAATGCCGAGGTCTGGGCACTTAAAGCCACATTGGCCCTCTGCTTCCTCTTTCCCTCCATTCTTCCACACCCACGCTGGCTCTCTGTCCTCACTCCCCATGAACCGTAACCTCTACATCTGGCCCTAGGAAAGCTGTTCTCGCGTGACATCATTTCCCCGAGGTACTACTCCTCCTTGCTCTTTTTCATTCTATCTGGTTGGATTTAGTTGCATTGGTCGATCGTTTTTGGTAAGGACCCTAGGCCAGGGTGGTTTGGTTGGCTTTGTGATTAATCTGTGAAATGTATGTGTTCAATTGTTTATTTATTCAACTATGATATACTTCATAGGTTTTGTTTCGTGATTTATGGCTACAATCCTAAACTAGTTGTGCATTGGTGGTTTAGGTCTAGGTCTGTAATGTTGGGAGAACTAATGTTGTAGCCAATTGAACTATGCGAAGTATTAGCCAATCGGGGTTATATGTTGTTGCTTACAATATTGTGAAGTATTAGGTAGAACGGATAGTGAGTAATTAGTTGTATGAAACTAACGAAAATTTTGGTTAGTGGATGGACGTATATTTTTGTTGACACCAAAATTTGGTAAAAAGAGATCGTCTGGTTGATCCGTTACAGAACGCAGTTTTGACAAGCGCAGAGGATCAATCCGAAAATCAGATGCGATTGCCAATGCTCAGGAAGGAAATAATGGGTGGATGTCGTCACGTATGCACAAGGTATGGTTCAATAATTAATGTATATTTGCATGCATGCAAGGCACGACGTCCCTAAGCAAGTTGATTTGGACTTTCCGAAGTACATGTTGTGCTTACTAGAGAAGCTAGAAGGAAAGAAACATGCATGCACACGGAACACCATACTTACATGTTCAGCTATCTGCACGTATGACCAATTAACATAATTGGCCACGTCTATTCTACGTAGTTCGGTTGATATATGGATATATGCTACTGGTGCTCGTATACAAAAGGAAGCCAGCCGGAATATGTATTATTTAATTGTTAATCAAGCTGATCAAATCATGTGCATGATATGCATTGCAAGGGAAAGCGTCTTCAAGCACATGGTTATCATCGGCTAGCATACCGCTGTACGTATGCACGAAGGAGCTAAGAATTAAGGAGTTGAGTCCAACTGCTACACGAGCTAAGCACCAAATCGGTCTCCGTTGCTGATTAGGAAATATTGTTTAAGGAAATATTGTTTAATGTATATCTGATCAGAGAGGCATGAAGTCTAAGTGCTCGTACATGTAGAGAAAAGGAAGAAAGACAGGATTGAGATCGAGTTTGGTTTAGCCCTCAAAGAATTCCGTCCAGAAGAGTCTCCGGCCGTTGGGGATGTGCGCGTGGAGTTTGTTTGGTACTTGCATGCAAACGGCTTCGCTAATCTCGTCCAGGAAAGGCAAATCGTATGTATTTAATATATATGGCCAATACCAGCTCGACCATACAAAGTGTACGTGAACAAGGCAATATCAAGGCGCAACCATGTATGACGTACTTGGCTAGGCGTACATTTATAGAAAATTGATATGGTTAGTTTAGCTCACAAGATCCCATTAGATTTTGGACTCTTGTACTCAGGAAGGTCCATCCACCCTATAAATATAAGGGGTGATGGCCAATTATAAGACATCTCTCATCGATCAATCAAACCAGTATCTTTACTTTTCGGCTTATGTCACCATTTAGGAGTAGGAGTAATGTAGCTTTTCAGCGAGTTCTTCAACAAACAGGGCTGCATCGGTCTGACCGACCTCCAGTTTATTTTTGAGTACCGTCACGGCTTATACTTTTATTTGTAAGGCTGCATCGGTCCGGCTGACCTTTTATGAGCTTTAGTATATGTTAGTTATCAATCTATATTATTATTTGTAAGGTTGCAACGATCTGGTCGATCTCTTACATGTAGTGATCTAGATTAGTTATCGATATTGTGTTAAATAATTTACTATTCAGCATAATATTACTAATTGCTTGATCTAGATTAAAGATTCCTTGGTCTTCATCTTTCGATCTATCGTCTGTCGATTGTCTTTACGCCAAAATTCAACTGTTGACGTTAGATCCCGTTTATCGACCGTTTTTATCTTGATCTTGATCGATCATAGCGGGTGTTTGAAGTCCTGTTTCCATTAAGAAATAGGTTTGTTAGTCGTCAATCTCCGGTTTGCTGTCTTTGTTGTCAACCTGTTGGTAGCGCACTAGATTGGGTATTGTTGGTTAATGGATCTACATGTTAATGGAGATATGACGTCATCCATCCGCTATGTTTGTGTCGGCTATTTAGCCGATAGCTTGAGCTTTCACGCGTATGGCACGCGTCCACGATTCTGTCAAAACATAAGTAGATTTATAAATCGCCAGGCTTGCAATTTGCCGTTCTACTATCAATGCTGCATCGATTCGGTCAACCTATTGATAGTGACGTA